ATAAGTTAACTACAAATCAAAACAAACTTTCTGTCAATTTTTTTAAAAGTGATAATTAAAACTTTACAATACCCCTCGTATTTTGCACAGTGAATACTGGGAAAGTGGGATATCCACAAACAACACCTAGCAGTAGTATCACTGGGGGGGGGGGGTGCGGAGGGGTGCGGGCTGCACCAGGTGACACCCCAGAGGTCAGCTCCATGCCCTCGTGGGCACTGTTTTGGGGTCTTTTCAGCTGCCTAGGTCCCATATGGAGGCTTTTTGGGTGGCCTAGGCCTCGTGTGGAGGCTTTGCAGGCCACCTCCTGCCCCAGAAATGCTGCCAGAAGTCCAGGGCTGGAAGTCCTGCCCCGCCGGATGTCCAGGGCCAGAAGCCCTGCTCCCTCAGAAGTCCCACCCCCCACACCAGGTGTCACCCAGTGTGGGAATGCCACAGACCCCTTATTCATTTGACCCAGATGTAAAGGTTTTTTTCTGCAGATACTACATTTTACCAGTATTAGATACAATATTTTGCAGACCTGGAAAATTTTACTTTTTTGGATTACAATTCTTAGAATCCTCCAGCTGGAGAATCAACATGGCGTAATTGTTTGAGTGTTGGACTAGTGTGGAGAGCAGGGTTCCATTTCTTGCTCAGCCACAAAGCCCACAGAGTAATCTTGGACAAGTCATATGCTGTCAGCCTCAGGGGAAAGCAATGGCAAACCATCTTTGAACAAATCTTGTCAAGAAAACCCCATTATAGGTTTGCCTTAGGTTTGCCATAAATCAGAAATGATTTGAAAGCACACAGAACAGCAATCCAAAATAGGTGAAACTTCCAAATTGATATTTTGTTGCTGGGAAAAGCAGTTTCCCTATTCGGTAGCACTGCAGCTGTGAATATTGAGGAGAGAGTAGTAATTTGTGTCTCAGGGAGTCTCATTAAAATAATGCTAACATTACCCTGAAAGATGTGCACCACATGCAACCCTATTTAGTGAGTGCATGCTCTATCGCTCTATCTATTTAATGTATTTAATTTATGCATATAAAATATATGGAAAGCAGGACTGGATTTGGAGGAAAAGGTTATAAAAAGTGGCTAAGAAACATCAATAATTTAAAATATGAAGATATCCCATTACAAGCAGAAAACATGGTTAGCAGGGTTACAGCACAAACATAAAATGGTAACTAAAATGTAGTTACTGAAATTGTTAAAGATGATGTTAATCAAGAAGGAGACTGTAACCAGGAAATAATAAAAAGATTAAGACTTGGAAGGGCAGTTTTGAAGGAACTAGATAAGATCCCCAAGTGTAATGATACATCACTGAATCCCAAACCAGGTTCATCCATACCATAGTACTTCCAATTTCTATGTACAGTTGTGAAAGCTAGACCTTGAAGAAAGCTGGCAGGAAAATATATGGTGCTGGAGGAGAGTTTTTCAATCACTATGGTCCATCAAAAGGACAAACAAATGGGCAAATCAAGCCAGAACTCTCCCTAGAAACCTACCAAAATATAATGATACAACAGGAGAAAAGAAAGACCACATTACAGATCTTTATTATAGAATCAATCAAGAAAGCCATGTCCCTGAGTTTGCAAAATTGAGTAGGGCTCTTCATAGCATGGCATCTTTGTTGGGATTAGCAACCTTGGCATTCCCAAAAACTCACTGGTAGTTAGACTGCGTGTTGTTCTCTAGCGGTTTAGGACACAGACTCCCTGTTTCTTTTTTGTTTACACTCACTGTCTTTCTGAGTCACATAGACATTCTTTTGTTCTCTCTGGTCATATATGCTCATTTGCTCTCTCTCTCTCTCTCTCTCTCTCTCTCTCTGCCTGCCTTCCATGAAGCATGTGGTCCGAAGAGTTCTCTCTGGATGAGATGCTCCAATTTCCTAATGGCATGTAGAACTTTGTTTTCTTTACATTCATGAAGAAGATGAACCTGTGTTGATTAAGGGCAAGTATTTTTGAATAAAGCTACTTTTACATACCTTACGAAGAAGACATTTCTCTCTGCTGGATAGTGTGATATGTGTGGGAGATTGTTCAAATATTTGCCTAGCACATCAGATACTCTGCTTGAGAGAGATCTACTAAAGCTCTCGCATTTCCCAATAGTCTTAGAAGTCTCTCATTCATAGAGTCACCATAGGTTGAAGCTGATTTAATGACACCACAGCAACAACAAGCTGGCAATTGGGATTTAGGCCTAATACATTTTTATGGCATCAGTCTTCATAAACTAAAGCCCACTTCCAAACACCGTAGTCAAGGCTCTTCCACGTCACATTCACTCTGGCATTCTCATCGAGGCAGTAAATTCTGTGCAGGGATACTATGCTGCCTACCATTTCATTTTGCAGGTGGGAATTCATACAATGCTGAATGTTCAGCTTCACTGAATCCAAATGAACAATTACTGCTTGTAAAAGACTGATTATGTAAAGAAGATTAAGGTATAACTCTTTTGGACATGTAGTTCTGCATGTACAGTAAGTTTTGTTATAATACAATAGTTATGTTCTTTAAAAAAGTCTGCATTATAATAGTTTGTGTTCTAAAAACAAAGCAGACTTATAGGTACAATAGGTGCTGATCTGAAAAACATTACTGGTATCTAAGCTATTTATTTAATGTACAACAAATTTTATTTGGCTGAAAATTAAATAAAATTGACTGGGTCTCGGGAGCGTCTCTGTATGCATGCATATTTGTTTGCTGCCACTACTACCACTTCCTTTGCTGTCATAGCACAGATACAACACTTGGCTAGGCTTAGGCTCTTAAGAGTAGCAGCAGCAACAGTGAAGCTTCATCTCCTCACATTGCATCAGTCAGTGTTTGGCTGGGGCATAAGCTCCCTCGTTCTAGCCCTCTTCCTTTCCCTCCCTTTCTCTCTCCTTCTGTCTTCTCTTGCCAATGTGCCCCAGCCAAATGCCAGCTTCTGCAATATGGGGAGGTGTAGTTTTGTTGCTGGTGCAACATGAAGATGGTGGGAGCTCTTCTTTGTTGCAACTGAACAACAAAGATGAAGGGAAGTGGGGTTGCTACTTAATAGTTGAGATATGGAGAGGTGCCAATTCACTAGTTTTGGATGCTTCAAATAGGAATTGGTTATTGCCAATTAAAAGTTTGTGTTCTGTTAATAGTATTCCTCAATTAATCATACCATTGCCAATTCATATTGTAAAAACATGTGTTAGAGCAGAATGTACTCCACAGGTTGAGTCTTCCTTACTCAAAATGCTTGGGACCAGAAGTATTTTGGATTTTGGATTAGTTTGGGTTTTGGAATACCTGTATTGCATATACGTACATAATAAGATATCTTGGAACTGGGACCCCAGTCTAAACACAAAATTCATTTATGTTTCATATGCATCTTATACACATGGCCTGAAAGTAATTTTACACATCATTTTAAATAATTTTTTAGATAAAACAAAGTTTGTGTACACTGGACCATCAGAAAGCAAAGGTGTTACTATCTCAGCTACCCATGAAGTTTTGGATTTTAGAATACTTTTGGATTTTGGAATCCCAGATAAGGGAAACTCAACCTGTGTGTGTATATATATGGGTGTGTGTATATATATGGGGAAGCACAGGATTATTTTTAACCCCAGTTCATCTGAAATGAGGCAACCAGATGTTAGGTTACTGTCCCAAGCCAAGATACAATGGTGCACTTTGGGACTGTGTGCCAAGGAAATCTGAAATTTATTCTCCTCATGGTCCAACCATACCATTTTGTGGCACCAAAAATCTGTTCTAGAGAATTTCCTAGCCATTTAGAGCAGGTTTATAGGCAGTACAAGGGCTTGAAGAATAAGTCTTCTGATTCTGGAAGTAGCAGTAAGATCACATAGGAGGGTACTATTGGATCCTGGCTCAAGTTTGCACACATAGCTGTATAACTCAGGAACACTGCTGTGATTTTGGACAGAAAGCAGGCTTATGAATAATGGCTCCTCTGATTCTGATTAATTCAGTTTCAAGGGATAATGGCTATCTTTAATCCCTGGCTGTTTTAATTAAAATCGAATTTAGGGGATTAAGTTGGTACACAAAAGTTCATAAAGCAATATTTCCCAGAACATTCTCTCAAAATGTATTCTGACAGCTCTAAAGAGAGACTTCAGTAATTTTTCTCATGTACTTTGCAGAGCCAAACTTACTATCCAGTGGCAGCACGTGATAAAATACTTTTGGCATTTGGAGATACAAAATTGCACACGATCAGTACAGCTGAGCTGAAGTTACAAGCATTGTTCTTAATTAAACTTCAGTTTCTGCATGACAGTGACTTTTCCACTTCTATAATTGGTAATAATGATCTTCCTCCCAGAGGGTTTAGAATTACTTGGTTGTTGTTACACAACATGCCTTTAAAATATTACGCTTGTTTACAGTTCTGTTGAAAAAGGATATTTGTGTTTATAAACATATTACCATATTAATTACAAAACCAAAACATAACACAACTGAAAGCTCTGTAGACTCAGATGATTCAGCAAAACTACCTGCTGTGGCAAAATATGAGATCTGAGTTGGGATTCCCTGACCCAAATATTGAAATTAGATTCTGCTAGTTACATTATGTGAGTCCACAAAATATCATTTAATTTTTTTTTAGATAGGTTCATTCTCTAAAAATCCAAAGTCTTAAAACACTATTTTCCTACAGTGGAGATTCATTTATTTGTCAGCTTCAATAAAATAAAATGCTAACAGGCCATACTTCTTTCTGACACAAGCTTCATGGGAAAAGTTGTCATGCTGTGGAGTAACTCTGATTCTTCTCCAGTGGCTGGCAAAATGGATGCAACTGGGAGAAACAGAGCAGATTTCAGTGGTGTGAAGAGTATGAATGTGGGAGGATCCATTCTGGCGGTAATGTCCGTTTTAGAGAGGAGAGAAAAGGAAAGTTTTGCTTACATGACACTGGATGTCGGCCTCTGCTTGCAATAGTAGTAAGCTGGATCATGTTTGAGAGCCAGCCTAGTGCAGTGGTTTGAGTGTTGGACTACGACTCTGAAGACCAGGGTTTGAATCCCCATTCTGCCATGGGAACCTAGTAGGTGACCTTGGGCAAGTCACACTCTCTCAGCCTCAGAGGAAGTGTGTCTCTCCTTTTTCTCGTATTATGAAAACAACCATACTTTCATGCCCTTTCATGACATCAAAATCCTGCTTCCTGATAAGATTGCCTCATGCCTAATGATAGGCTAACCCTGTTAAACATGTATTATTATGTATTATAAGCACAACATACATTATTATTTAATTTTTAATTTATTTAACTTTTAATTTATTATAATTATATTATTTATTATTATTAACATTGGTTAATGCAGATCATCAGCCAATGCATTTAAAGCACAGACTGGTCTCATTCCACTGAATTACTTTCAATTGTTGTTGCTTGAAGTTTTGGACATGAGTAGTGGCCGAGTTCATATATGCTTGAATGCCGGACCCTTGTCCTTCGTTGTTTATTAAATTTAATGGAGTATGGGTTATGTCCAGCAGGTTCTGGATTGTTCCTTGAAGGAAGAGGTGCTGCCAGCTTCTTTTAAGGAGACAATTGTTAGATCACTCCCCAAAAACGCTTAACCTGGATCTGGAAGAGATGGAAAACTAGGCCAACAACCAATATCCCTATGCTGGTGAAGAGCTTAAGTGAGTGGTTGCCACCCACTTGTAGACACTCTTGAAAGAAAATTATTATCTATATCCATTTCCACTGGATTTCAGACCTAATTTTGGAAAGGATATTGCCTCAGATGCCCTGTGGGATTATCTTTGCTATGAGAAAGATAGTAGGATCTTGCTGATTTCCTTGGACTTTCAATATCATTAGCCATAGTACACAGGGATATCTGAGCCAGGTGCTGGAGGTATTAAATTGCGGCATTTCTACTCCTAGTGCTTCAGAAAGTGATGCTGAGGGATTACTACCCTTTCACAATACTCTATTGTGCTACTATGATTCCACTTTAACTGCCATTATCTGATGTTTATGGTATCCTGGGACTTGTAGTTTGGTGATGCATTAGAGCTCTCTGGCTTCACATTCTAAGTATCCTTTCCTAGGTTAAAAATCCCAGGATTCCATAGGATGGAACCTTGGCAGTTAAAGTAGAATCATAGACCTGTAATTGTGTAGAGTCCCTTTACAATTACGTTATGGGGCTCCATGAGGCTTTATCTTATCCTTCATGCTATTCAGCATTGACACAAAATTGCTGGGAGAGGTTATTCAGAGATGCAACCTGAGCTGCCATCAATAAACAGCTAATGCCCAGCTCCATCTCTCAATGAAGAGGGGGTAAAAGATGATCCTCCCAATATGGTTGGGCAGCAGTTTTCTTGAGCCCTAGCCAGCATAGCCAGAATGCTAGAAGTTACAGTCCAACAATATCTGAATTCTTGCTCAGTCCTAACCTTACCAAAACTAGGGAAAGCACTGGGTATTATTAATCAGTATCTGGATGTAGTAATGGACTGGATGAGAATCAAAAACTGAGACTCAAACTAGTCAAAGTGTTAGTACCATTAGAGATGGTTCACCTGCCTGGCTAAGTGTCATTGTACCTATCGTAAAGTAGATGACATTCCCCTTATAAAAAGGGGAGGAAAGAGCAAGGTGGTCATGGGGTGCAAGAAGAATCCGATTGGCTTGATGCACTTGTGTCGCAGTAAAGCAACAAAAGGCACCCTAGCCTCCCATTCTGCAAACACAGCTAGGGTAGCAAGCAGAAAAGAGAAAAGCTGCATAGGCTGAAAGTTCCTCTTCTACAGGGCTGGCCTCCCATAAGGAAGAGTGGGGCACCTGCCTCAAGATGTAGAGTACCAGAGTGGCAAATTGTATATCCATAGTGCTGCTGCTCTTCAGCATCCCTGTGTCCCACAGAGCCACAGTTTCACTGCATCTGTGCCTATGACAAGATTTGGAGGTTTGTTTGTGATGGCAATGATACAGACTAGTGGTGGCAGCAATTGTTTTCTCACCTTAAGAGGTAGGAAAGGTGGGGCCACTGCTCTTCTCCGCAGCAATTAAAAGTGCAGGGTTCCTCTCCATTTTTGAAACTATTTAAAAGCAGTACTCAGCTTCTTTTGTGGTGGTTGTGGAGCCAGTTCTGTTGTGGACATGCAGAAAATTTAAAGTGGAGGCATCAAACAGCAAAGCAAATATTTTGCTACTAGGCAGTTCCATAACTGAATGTAACCCAATTAAAATTAAATAATTTCTTATTTGAGAAGTTAGGAGAATATCTCTAAACATGTATCAGGAATAAAAAGTTTTAATCTTTTCTTGTCAACATACAGTTAATCTTTCTTAAAATTAAGAGGATTAGTCTAATTTACCTAATTCTGAAGGTTGAATTCATCAATAGTATTGTTCGCTCCCCCTAGAAGGATTAGTGCCAATGACTCATCCATGTGTCATCTGTTTTTGAACACTGATGGGTGGCCATTAAGCCTACCTATGGACTCAAAGAGAAGGCTACTGCTGCATTTGTTTGGTAGATAAATGGCAGTGATGTTTACAATATTATCCTAAGAGTGAGTGTAATTAAGACATAACATTTAAAATAAATCTAAGTAAGTGATGCAAGCTGAAAGCAGCTAATAATGACATTTAAAGGCAAATAACAGACACACATCATTTAATGGTAGGAGGTAGGAAATAATAGCATCTTTGTTTATTCAGGACTGCTGGAATACTAATTTCTTAAACAAAAATTATCCTCAATAAACAGACATAATAGGCAGAAGCTAGATCAGGGTCCAGAAGAAGCACTCTAGGTAACTAGTCCAGACTCACAATGGTTCCTGGTTCCCTATCGTTTAACAATAGCAACAAGAAAATAACTGTTCTTCTCTTCCTTTTCGTGGATGGATGAGGAGAGAACCATGTTAAATGGTGGCTGTGCAATGTGTTGGGGACCAGATGAGGCCGGAGCTACGAAAAAGCACACATCAAAAAGGATGCAAAGGTAAAGCAAAGAAAATAGTGACTACGGTTCAAAACACACAGCAGAAATAATCCAGTTTGAGACTGCTTTAACTGCCCTGGTTCAATGCTAGGGAATTCTGGGAACTGTAGTCTTGTGAGACATTTAGCCTTCTCTGTCAGAGAGCTTTGGTGCCACAATAAACTACAGTTTCCAGGATTCCCTGTTACTGAACCAGGGCTGTTAAAGTGGTCTTAAACTGGATTATCGGACCTAAGTCAGCGGTGATTACATTACATTAACTTTAATGTGATGTGATAACTGCCTAGATCTGTTTAGCTTGGAGAAGAGAAGGTTAAGGGGTGACATGATAGTCATGTTTAAATATTTGAAGGGATGTCATATTGAAGATGGAGCAAGCTTGTTTTCTGCTGCTCTAGAGATGAGGACACAGAACAAGGGATTTAAACTACAGGAAAAGAGATTTTACCTGAACATTAGGAAAAACTTCCTGACAGTAAGAGCTGTTCGACAGTGGAAGACACTCCCCCAGAGGATGATGGAGTCTCTTTGGAAGTTTTTAATGGAGGCTGGATGGTCATCTGTCGGGGATGCTTTGATTGTGAGTTCCTGCATGGCCGGGGGTTAGACTGGATAGCCTTGGGGTCTCTTCCAACTCTGTGATTCTATGATTTATTTATTTATTTATTGAATTTATACCCTGTCTTTTCCCCCCAAAAAAAAACAAGATTCAAGGCATCTTACAGTAATCCAAAAAAAAAAAGATGTTGCTAAAATATTAATTTACATCAGTTAAAAAGGAATTAAACACCAATAATATTAAATAATATTAAAAACATGCTTAAAACAGTTAACAGTTATTAAAACATACTTAAAGCATAATTATAAAAGATAAAAAGATTAAAACATCAAAACATAGCACTTACACACAGACTACACCTCCGGAATTAAAATTAGAATTCAGAGTTCAAAAGCCCGCCTAAATAAAATCAACTTCACCTGCCAGTGGACAGAGAGCAGGGAGGAAGCCAAATGGGTCTCCCATGGAAGGGGCTCCCATAGTCTGGGAGCACAACTAAGAAGGCTTTCTCCTGAGTCCTTGCCTGCACTTAACCCCCCCCCCC